ACGGGAGAGAAGAGTGGTCACGAAGGTCTTAGGGGCAGGTAGAGACTTTGCAAAGAAATACCTATTCATGAAGTATCCATCTAACGCAGAGGCGCTTACAAGCCTCAAGAGTCTAGGTAAGCTTTATTTGCTGACCCAGTTACCCGCCACCCCCCACCCTGGCCCTAATTAGTTCCATTTGATTCTTCAAACATGGGAAGACAAGAAAGCGCTGATGGTAAAGACCTTGTAGTCGCTGTGGGGGGAAAAAAGATTTTTTTTCTTTCGATTTCCATTGAAACATGGAATCTATTTTGTTAAATGATTTAAGTGTGTTGGGGGGTTAAGTTTAAAGACTCAGTAAGTTACTAAGTCTTAAATTATTTCCCTTGCTGTCTCCTCTACCTCAGTCATAATCCCGATCTGAAAATATTTATTTGACAGTCAGCTGATTTTTAAAAAATTTTAGAGTAATGCTTTAGGAAAGAAAATAAACAACTAAGTTCAAAACAATGTTTACTTTGTTTAGCTCTTGTATTAATCCCCTGTGGAAGGCTTTTGCTTTTCACTGTTACATACATCTGTGCTCATAAAGGGAATATAGTCCCACAGTTTGAGCCAAAAATGGAGATAGAGGTGAAACAATAAAGTCACTTACAGTTTTATAAGATGATGAAAACAAATTCTTTTAAAAATAAATGGTTCACCACTTTTAATATTTAATGTTAGAGATAAGGGCTAAAGTTTAAAGGGTAACATATTTCATGTAATGTAAAATAAATACAATATTTACATTGCACAGGATTTTATAATGTACTAGGATATTATAGTGTTAAATAGTAAGTATTTGCTATATAAAAAAGAGCTGGGATCTTAGCAGTTAAATCAGAGCAATGCATAATTTTAAAAGATGTTTTAGAGCTGTAATCTTACAGTATCCATTTGTGTACATGTACATTATGCAAGCATTTACTTTCTTATTTTAACAATAAAACACTTTTTAATAACTACCCACAATGGAGTTACTTGTTTTTATGAGTTTGTTTTAAAATGTACCACGGAATCAAAAGATAGTATGCTAATTTTTTGTTTCATGAATAATAAAAAAACATTCATTTCCTCCCTTAAAAACCATGATACGTTATGATTTCTACTAGTGATGTTAAGTGCATTCCATATAAAAGGAAAAGGGAAAAAGTGGTTCTTAATATCTTAGAAAATGGTGAATTAAAAAGACAAACCTCTTTTTACAATTATTCATATAATTTGACATCTTTAAGAACTACTTTACAATAATTTTGCTCCTTTAAACTGTCTCTCATTTCTTCTATCACTTCATATGAATTAAAAAAGAATGAACACGTATTTTCTTTAAAATATACGCGATTAACAAGATTCCCTAACGATAGCTTGGTTCTGGGAGGTGACTGTGAGGTGGGTACTAAATATGACCATAATAGTCAACAGTAAAGCACAAAACATTAACTTAGATTTTAAAGGAATTAGAAAATGTATTAGTATAAATTAAAGCTGGATTAATAGTTAAACATATTGAATAAATTAATTTTAACAATGAAGAGGCTAATTATGAACAGACTTTGCCATTTTAAAAAGGTGAAGGAATGCTTATGTAATCCAAGCATTCAGTATAAAAATCAAACAATAAAAATCTATAGAAGTATATTTTTTCTTAGGTAACACTCAAGAGACACTGCTAACATAAAAGGAATTAAGTACTGTGATTGAGGAATCCTGTCTTATTTCGTCGTATTCAATTCACCTGTATGAGGAAAGAATACAAAATTTCATATCACAGCTTAAAAATTCATAGTGATATTTTTCATGTGCTATGATTTTGTATGATTCCTTAAATCCAATCCAAATTGTTGTAACTTGTAATTTAATTATCTTAGTCGTTGAAAGTTGATCGCTGTTTGTCGAAAGGCAAAAAGGGCAAGACAAAACAATTCTCCCCCAAATAACCTCTCCTTTCTCCCTTTCCTCCCCAAATGAATCTATTTCTTGCATCTTTTATCATGAGATGAGAAAGGGATTATTGGTCTCTTTTTCTACCGTTAAAAAGAAACCAAACCGAAGGGGTGAGTTTTCCAACCCCTTTCTTTAGAATTTTTGAAAACCTGCTTTACACTTGAGCTCCACACTCCAGCAAGAGATACAGATCTAAGCCAGTGGACATCTCAAGTTGCAGCTGCGTCCCACAGAGACCACGGACCCGTGTTCCTACGCCCCCTGCCGGCGAGGCCCGGGTGCCCCAGATACCTGGATCGGGCGCCTGCCGAAGCAGTTGAGTCCGTTGGGATCCGCACCGGCTTCCAGGAGCTGCCGCACGGTCTCCACTTGCCCCCGCGCCGCGGCATTAGCCAGGCGGGCATCGCCGCCGCCACCACTGAGCATAGCCTTGTCCTCCTCGCTCAGTTCGCAGCCCTCAGACGCAAACTGTCCCGGATAATCCACCGCTGGCTGTGAGCTTCGCAACACCCCTCCCTCCCGTCCCACCTCGCCCTGGCGCGCTCGCCCCACTCCGGGAGAGCTCAGCTCAGCTTCAGGCCCCTTTCGCCGTCCTTCTGCAGCTTGGGGGGACCCGTACAACGGCCGACCGGCCTGTAGTTAAGCTGGACTTTCCCAGATCGCTGCCAGGAAAAGGCGTCTCACGCGGCCGCAGCCTCGCGTGAATCCGCTCTGGCCACAGAGTGCGGGCGCGCTGCGGCGTGCTCACCGCCGAGCTCCCCCTGGCAGAGTGGAGAGCCGGCAGAGACTGAATCGGTTCCCAGCTGGGCTGCGGGGCTGGGCTCTACCCACCTCCTTAGGCTCCGCCCCTGTCCGTCCAGCCGGCGCGGGCACGTCCCACTGTGCCGGCTGGGAGACCTGGCAGGCAGATGACGTTACAGTCGACGAGGGTAGGGGCGGGGGGAGCAGCCCAGACGGTGCAGGGACGCATGCGCCAGACACAGGCGGCCCCCACTGCGCAACTAGCTGAGCAACTCGCTGCGCGGTGTCCAGCAAAGCCTAGGCTAAGTTTCTTGGAAACGTTAAATCATTGCGCTCAGCTCCCAATCACCTACCTCCAGCAGGCGGAGCAGAGGATTTCTATTCCTTCAGCTCCGAGCCAGCTGGTTTTACTTGGAGATGTCAGTCGCTCCCTGTATAATCAAAAGGCCGAGAAAAATACATTTAAAAAAATTCCATCCCTCTTAAGATGCCTGAAAGTGACAACTCTACACCAGTTATGCAAGTTAAATTTATCCCCAGGCTGCACTTGAACTTCACTAGCTTCATATCTTGCATCAGCCTTAGCAATTTGGTGTCTCCCTATCTGAATCAGCAAAAAATCAGTCTCAGCAAAAAATACTGAGAATCCTGTTTTGAATGTGCTTTTTATTCTTTTCATCTTTAAATTATGGATACGACCCTAAAACACACACACACACACACACAACTAGTCTGAGATTGAGAGTTGCATCCTGGTACACGTCAGACACTTAAAAAACACAAATATATATTTTAAGAATCTGAGATCCAGTTTCATGATATTTGAACAATCTATTTTTGTTTGCACTCTAACCTATTTAAACCCAGCTCAGCAAGTATTTTATTTCTATTTATCATGAGTAATAAAGGAAATTATGCAGTAATAATGAAACAATAAAACAGGGGTGTGGTCCTGGGCCTGTCATTAAACAGGCTGAACCTGTCATTAAATCCACTTCTGAAGATTTAAAGGCCAAGTGCTTTGCTTTTCTTCCTAATCTTCTTAGGTGAGTTTGTTTAACATATGCATTGCTTTAAAGATTTAAAAAATTACAGGTGATACTCTACTGAACTTGTGGAAGAGAACCACAAGTTATGTAATTGTTGCCTGAAAACCTTGATGAGGAGAGTAGGCTCTCCTAAACCTGAACAGCTCTTCTCTGTAACATCATTTTTGGTTTAGAGTGCCAAGGAACGCAGTCTTAAAGGGTGGGCAATTGCTTGCTCACTCACAAATAAGAAACTCAACAAGTTTCTTCTAGCATGCCTTAGCTTGAACCCCTCTCCTCCCAATCAACTACAGAATGAAGAAGAGCTCTTTACAGATGGGGGTTTGGGGATACATGGAACTGGTGGTTGGGGCTAAAGATCTGCTGACTGAGTCTCAACAGAGATGAAACCCACCTGGTGGGGGAAATTAAGGGGGCAGCATTAATAACAATTTCTCTCTCTCTCTCTGACCACACCTCTGTTTCTTAGTTTTCAGTTTCTTAATTCCTCTTCCTTCCACTCTTATTTGAACCTTCATTCTTACCTGGAAAAATGTCTTTTTATTTGTTGATGATGATTCCATTCCTGTTTGAAAAGAGGAATCGAAGTCTACTGCTGGGTGTAAAGCAGGGATGAACTGTTTTGTTTAGTGTAGGGGGCCAGTCCCCATGCATGGTATATTGGGTATTATAGGTATGTAGGCAGAATGGGAGAAGGAAGAGGAAAGATGGACAGTAGGAAGCCAGAGTCTTTGAAATGAATGGCTTTGGTTCTTTGCCAGTTACCTTGAGGGGCTGTCACTGGACTGATATGGGTGGGTGTGGTGGCAAATAGGCTCAGTCAAGAATATCTTCATCAGAACAGTCTAATTACTCTGAAATTTAGTGCACATCCAAATGTAACAAAGGCAGATTATCTTCTAAAGAAGTGTTATTGGACTGTCCCTCTAATGGATTCAGTCATTAAATCTGGTTCAACAAAACTTAATTCAGCGTATCCTGTATTATAGGAGTCCACAGTTAAATAAGATGTGGGTCCTAGATTTTAAGAAACTCTCTCCAGTGGTATTCAAACCAACAGAAAGTTTCAGATTCAATGCAATCCCTATGAGCATTCCAATGGCATTTTTCAAATAAATAGACAAATACTACTAAAATCTCCATGCAGCCACGAAAAACCCCAAATAGCCAAAGTAATCTTGAGAAAGAACAACAAAGCAGGAAGCATCACATTTTCTGATTTCAAACAACGTTACAAAGCTACAGTAATTAAAACAATTTGGTATTGGCATAAAAACAGACACATAGACCAATGGAACAGAATTAAAAGCCCAGAAATAAACCCATGCTTAGCTGGTCAATTAATTTATGACAAAGGAGCCAAGAATATACAACGGGGAAAGGACAATCTCTTCAATAAATGGTACTGAGAAAACTGGACAGCCACATGCAAAATAATGAAACTTGACTGCTATTTTATACCATACACAAATATTAACTGAAAATTAATTAAAGACTTGAATGTAAGACTTTAAACCATTAAAGTCCTAGAAGAAAACATAGGCAGTAAGCTCTTTGACATAGTACGTGACAATAATTTTTTGACTCTGACAACAAAAGCAAAAATAACTAAGTAGGACTATATCATACCAAAAAGTTTCTTCACAGAAAAGGAAACCATCAACAAAATGAAAAGGCAGCCTATGAATGGGAGAAAATATTTACAAACCATATATCTAATAAGGGTTAATATCCAAAATATATAAAGAACTCATATGACTCAATAGCAAAAAAACCAAACAATCAAATTGGAAAATGGGCAGAAAATCTGAATAGAAATTTTTCCAAAGAAGACATACAGATGGCCAACAGACACATGAAAAGATGCTCAATGTAACTAATCATCAGGGAAATGAAAATCAGGATCACAGTGATATATTATGGATGTGGCAAAAAGGCAACCCTTGTACACTGTTGGTGGGATATAAATTGATGCAGTCACTATGGAAAACAATATGGAAGTTCCTCAAAAAATAAAAAGTAGAACTACTATAAGATCCAGCAATTCCACTTCTGAGTATTTATCTGAAAAAAAATGAAAACACTAACTCAAAAAGATGTATGAATCCCTTTGTTTACTGCATAGTTTTTTACACTAGCCAAGATATGGAAACGACCTAAGTGTGTCCATTGATGGATGAATGGATAAAGAAGTTGTAATTCATATATATATGTCTGTATGTGTGTGTGTGTGTGTGTGTGTGTGTGTGTGTATTTCAGCCCCCAAAAGAATGAAATCTTAGCATTTGTGACAGTATGAAAGGAACTCAAGGGCATTATGCTAAGTGAAATAAGTCAGATGGAGAAAGACAATTACTATATGATCTCTTTCATATTTGGAATCTAAAACAAAAATAACCCCTCCCCCAAACAAAACAAAAATAATCAAGCTCATAAATACAGAAAACAGATTGGTGGTTTCCAGAGTTGGGGGTTGAGGATGTGTGAGAAATGGGTGAACTTTTAATTACTTTTAAAAATTTAAATAAATTGTTTTTAAAAATGTTAAAAAATATTTCTCACTTTTATTGTAAAAACGATTGCCTCTTTCTCAGCTCTGCATTTTCTCCTTTGGTATATTTTTTTGTTTGAAGTCTTGTTTACTCCAGGAGCAAGTCAGAATACTAGTGAAGGTTAGGGGAACAAACTACAGCCCCTGCTGCTGCAGCTGGTTGTAAAACCACTACTAATAATCACTGTCTGCCTCTTCAACTACCCATTCTAGATTCTCTCATGCTTTGCACATCTGGTGATCTAGGTGTCTAAATTGGTAGGAGAAATAGACCTTCATTCTTGAGAGTTGTGAGCTAGTCACCATGCACTTCTCAGACAATGACTGATATTCTTGTCCATTTATTATCAAAATTGGGCAGAGAAATATAAAGAGATATTCCAAAGGATTATCTGAATATCAAATGCATTTTCCTCTTCTTAGATTCAAAAGCCCTATCTTCTCCAGATAAACACAATCAATTACCCCCTTTAGGAGGGTAACTGGTCTCTCAGTGTGAAGTGATTGGGCAGAATTTAGAACTTAAATGGGGATCCTTCCAATATCCCATGGTGAGATTGTTCTCTCTATATGAACCAAGATTTTCAGGCCACAGATATTAGAATTTTAAGGGTGGAAAATATAAATTCCTCATGTGGGTTACAAAATATGATAAATGAAGCCACTCCTGGCAATGGTCAGAGAGGTAGCAGTGTCTGGGTTCCAGGAGGGCCATCCAGGATGAAATAGAATCCTAGTTCATGGTAAGAAAAACAGAGGAAACATAGGCAAAGTTCCAGGGTTCCAAATCAAAATGAGTTCAGGTTAGAATTTACTAATGAGAATTCTGTCTTACAACAAGAAACTGAGCCAGAAGCATTAGGATTGAGGAACTGAAGGAAAGGCTACTAATGATGGATAAAGAGGTACTCAAGAACTCAGATGTAGAACAACATATTATTTGCAGATTTCCTTTTTGAAAAGGTAGACATAGAGATGAATGAAAACAGTGCTTGAATATACTACTACTATGACTATGACTACTACCATATAAGTGTATAACCTTTAACTCCAGTCTAAAATGGATACTTGTACGACTGCATACAAAATATGGCTGCATGAATTACTGAGAATGAAAGCTAAGACCATAAATTTTCCTTAAACTGAAATGACTTCCCTGGCCTAGTCTTCTGAAACTGCATGCTTCATCAGCATAGGTAGGTATAGCATGTTGGAGAACAGAGGAAGAGTGAAGTGGGTACAAGCTGGCAGTGCTTAAAAAATAAAAAAGTGTCCTAGATTTTAAGAAACTCTTTCTACTGACACTCAAAACTAACAAAAAAGGGCTTCAATTTAAAATGATAACCTTACTGAGAAGTGTATCTACAGGGTACCCTGGGAGTAAGGAAGAGGGGAACTTAACTCAAGATGGGAAGTGCAGGGAAAGTTTCTTAGAGGTGTTGCAGCTAAAGAGAGTCTTTAAAGA